AATGTTATGTGAAAATGATTTGCCTAAAGTATTTTTAAGCTGAAGCTAGCAATAATGCATGCTATATCATTAATAAAGCTATGATAAGATCTATCCTTAAGAAAACTCCATATGACTTATTCAAAGGGAGAAAGCCAAATATTGCATATTTTCATCTATTTGGCTGTAAATGTTTTGTGCTTAATAATGGTAAGGACAATGTTGGAAAATTTGATGCCAAATTAGATGAAGTAATTTTCATTATTTATTCTTCAATTTTTAAAGCATATAAAATCTTCAACAAAAGAACATTCTTAGTTGAAGAGTCTATATTTGTATTATTTGATGAATTTTCTTCTAAGAACATAGAAACTATAATTCAAAATAGATAGAGGAATTGATGAAGGACTTTGAGATTAATGATGAAGCATTACCCTCTACGTCAATCAAAGAAGAAGGCCATCAAGAAAAGGTTAATGTAGAAAATGATACAATTATGGAGCCTTAAGAACCAGCAAGGGAGCCCTCACATCCAAGAGTAAGAAATGAAGTGATGGATGTAGAAAAAATTGGTAATCCTCCACAAGGAGTAAGAACAAGAGCTTCATTGAGGAACACATGTCAAGTTATGGCCTTCTTGTCTCAAGTAGAACCAAAGCGAGTAGATGAAGATTAATTGATGAAAGCTGGATTCTAGTAATGCAAGAGGAATTAAATCAATTTGAGAGGAATAAAGTATGACAAGTACTTGTGTCTAGACCAAGCGCTCATCTAGTTATTGGCATTAAATGGGCATTTTGAAACAAAATGGATGAAATAGGTATTGTGGTAAGAAATAAGGCTAGATTAGTTGCACAAACTTATTTATTCTTAGGAAGAAGGAATTGATTTTGATGAAACATATACCACTGTAGCTTGATTAGAGGCTATTAGAATGTTACTTGCTTATGCATGTCAGTTAAATTTTAAAAATTTTCAAATGAATGTCAAAAGCACATTTTTAAATGGTTTTATTCAAGAAGAAGTTTATGTTGAACAACTACCTGGTTTTGAAAATCCTGAATTTCTAGAACACGTGTTCAAACTCTCAAAAGCACATTATGGTTTAAAACAAGCTCCTAGAGCTTAGTATGAATGACTAGATAGTTTTCTTGCTCAAAATGATTTTATAAAAGGAAAGGTGGATACAACCATGTTTATAAAACAACATAAGCATAAGCAAGTTACTCTCAACTCCAAAACTAATTAAATACCTTATTTACCCCAATTCCAGTAAAATTAAAAAAATAAAAATAAATACAATTTACTTTTAATTTTTATAAAAAAAATACAATAAACCTATGTACTTAAGGGGGTTTTGTGAAATATCTATATACTTAGGGGGTTTGGATACTTTTACATAGAGGAAATTACAAAAACCTGATGGATTCTATTACCAAACGGTTAAGAGGGGAGGTCTTAGAGAATTGTGGAAATTTGAGGGGCACAAACCTCAAGGGAGCTGAGGGACAGTAAACCAATATGGGATATTTGCTTCATAGGAAAAGAAGAAGAATGAGAGAGAGAGAAAAAGAACAGAATATGGGCTTTGAGAGACAACTACGAATGAATAAGAAATTATATATATATATATATATATATGCTACATTGATATCACTCTTTTACACAACTATGGAAACTCCATCATCTCCCTCCCACACACAAGCGAAAACGAATATTCTTAATCTAGATCCTTTTAAGTCTAAAAACAAGAAATTATAGAGAAGAGAAAATATTTATTCATATATTATATATTTTTTTAAACTTTTTTCGCTTTTATTATTAATGTTGTGGAATTAAAAAGTACTTGGCTGATTCAAAAGGAAAGAGAATTTTTTTGATAAAATCATTATCTTTCAAATGAACTTTTTGAAGGTGATCACTTCTAACGAAAAATGTTTTGTTAACTTGTTAAAATATTAAATTAAATATCAGTAATACAATTTTTAATAACCATACGACAAGTTATGTTAGAAGTTGAATTTGTTCTTCATTGCTAAGTTGCTAGGTTATTATAATATATATGTGGTTGGACATCCTCCTTTTCTAAGCTAATTTTTGGGAGTAAGTTCTACACAAACCCATTTATCATGACATTAGAGCTACATGTTTGTAGGTAATAAATCATTGATGCACCCTAGCCCTACATCCTATGTGTGAGGGAGGGTGTTTGAAGTTGAACTTGTTTTACATCGTCAAGCAAGGATGCACCCTAGCCTTACACCCTAAGTGTGAAGGAGAATGTTAGAAGTTGAATTTGTCTCAAGTCGTCAAGCAGAGTGTTAGATGTTGAATTTGTGGTTGGATACCCTCATCATTTGAGTTAGCTTTTGGGAGTGAGTTTTACCCAAGTCCATTTATCAAGGAATGATATTAAAAGTTGAATTTGTCTCATATCACCCAACAGGGTGTTAGAAGTTAAATTTGTAGTTGAACACCCTTCTCTTTTGAATTAGATATGGGGAGTGAATTCTACTAGATAAATTAGGATAAAAGAGGTAATCTGAACCCCCATAAATAACAACTATAACTTTCTTAGTATTTTTCATCTAAAAATCCACTATTAGTACTTGATTCACTTTCAAAAGTGTACAACTCCGGGGCCATTTGCTTAGCAGTAATAAAACATTATTCTGATAATATATCCTTTAATCCGGACATCACCTTGTTTGGTTGTTAAGTTATAAAAGATTTCGGTAATCTTCTAATACCAATAATGATTACCATAGGTGATATTGAGGTAATTTGATTATCGAAAAAAGTTGGCATTTTAAGATTATTAGGGTAATCCAATTTTTGTTCCCATTTTAATTAACATTTTGGATACAAATACCTTCGTATGTCTATCAAATAACAATTAGCCTAACTTTGTAAAATGACTTCTGTAACCCCTTACATTTGAGAATTTAGCTAAAATTACCTAACCACAATAAAAAGTTTAAAATTAACAAAATACCACCACCACCCAAAATGACTGCCGGTCATCGTCGGAACGGCGCATGACTGTTCTGATCTGGCTGGTCGTGCGTGTTTTGGTGGCCAGATCCACAACTGTTTCTAGCCAGATCGGCACAAGGTCGGCCAGATTCAGATTCTCAAATGTAGGGGGTTAACAATATTAATCAAAATAATAAAACAATAATAATAATAATTTGTATAATAATATTTAAAAAGAAGGGCAATTCAGTAAAAGGCTCACCTAGGATTCTTTTATTCTCCCAAACCAAACATATTAGGGTGCGTTTGGTTTATTATTTTGGATATGATTTTGGGGATAGTATTGGGTTGTTGGATAGGAGAGTATTATGAGGTAAACTTAAAAAATTTATGAAAAAGCCCTTACGTTTACTAATTTAATTAAAGTCCATAATATATAAAATGACAAAAACACCCCCACCACCTGCAGTGCCAAATTCCAGCCACCACCGTTGGAATCTGGCCGAAAAATTTCGTTACGACACAGACCGGTCGGATCTATGTCGTAACGCGTCGTTATGGCCTTTTCCGGCCAGATCCACCACGGATCTGACCGAAAAAGGCCAGATCTACGAACTGCTGTGGCTGCGACGGCCGAAAAAGGCTGAAACGACAACCATCTTTGGCCGTCAACGTCGGCCAAAGATATGACCGTCGTTGGCAGACAACGACGGCTATTTCTTTGACCGTCGTTGACAGCAGATCTGACCTTTTCCGGCCAGATCCCTTGTGGATCTGGCCGGAAAAGGCAAGATCTGGCCATTACCGACTATTTCTGGTGGCTATGTGACTATTGTGATAGATTTCAGCTACCACCGGCGGTGGTTGCCGGAATCTGGCAGGTATTGGTGGGTGGGAGTGTTTTTGTTAGTTTTTAAACTTTTTTCTGGGGGGTATTTAATGAAATTAATAAACTTATAGGGTCTCAATGTAATTAAAAAAATGGACTAATATTTTGGGAATAACGTGCCAAACAACATTTGAAAAATAGGAATGAGAATATAGATAAAAACAATAAGCCAAAACGTACCCTTAATTATTTATACCCATCAATCTAACTAAATATATATAATATAACATTTCCTTAATCTTCAAAGTAATTTATTTCATTGGTAATTTTATCTTTCTAGTAATACAATATTCTCTGAACCAAACACCCCTTTAAAGTAATTTAATTATGTGAAGAGTGAAATTACAATTGTGAGCTCAAATATTCAATTTTTGTATCGCCGAAAAGATGCACCTAATTTTGAATCCTAAATACATGTAATTGTAGCTAATATAATACTATTTTTTATTGAATAAGACAAAGTCAGTTGCATATTGCTAGCCTCTGTCTCTGTCTCTGTCTCTCTCTCTCTGTCTCTCTCTCTCTCTCTCTATATATATATATATAACTTCTATGATTAATTTAATAAAAGATTATTTTAAATTTACTAATCTTAAATATATATATATATAACAATGGTATAATCTTTGAAATTAATCACGGACTTCATAGTTATTGGATTTCAACAACTTGGGCTCGTCAGTATGTGATCTTGTGATCCTAAATTAGTTTCAACTTATCTATATGTATAGATTATACATGATAACTTGGCAGCACTATGTCAACTTACTGATTTTATGAATAAAATGGAAAATAGAATCACCTTTTAAAATTATAACAATATCCTTTTTTTCTCCCTAGATCTCCAACGTGCACTCATGTTTCTTTAAGCACTTAGTAATTGACTAAATGGCACTCCCTTTTGGATTTTATAATAGATGAAACCATGTTCACTACGCGTACATCCTTTGAATCTGTACCGTACACGTCATACTGGACCCATTCGGTGTGTCCTTTTGAGAAAACGAATGGTCATTATTGAAGCTGAGATTAACCCATGTGCATTGACGTGTGCACGTCATAGTTTAATATTATCCAATAATTGTTAATTTGTTCCCCCTCAGTATATATATCCACCGGCTGTCCCTTCAAGTCCAATCACTGCTTGCTAACTCAGTAGAGAAAATGGGAACGAAGTTCTCAGTTCTTCTTTTGCTCTTCATTCTTTTTCCACTTGCTTTAGCCCAATTAAAGGTTGGTTTTTACAACTCTACTTGTCCAAGAGCTGAATCAATCATTGGCCAAATAGTCGCTAAGCGATTCAATACAACTGCTTCAGTAACGGCTGCCCTCCTTCGCATGCATTTTCACGACTGCTTTGTTAGAGTAAGTCATTAATTATGTCTCAAAACATTGGAATATCCTTCACAATTATCTACTGGGTCTATTTATGTATTCCCTATATATGATTGCTTAGGACTAAATTTGTTCACTTCTTTTAGAAAGTATTAAAAAAAAATATATAAAAAATGATCAAGAATACCTTAAAAATATTAAACAGTCTCTTCTAAAAATACTTTTAATGAAGCAGATGAATCTGAACAAAATGGATGAGTTAATACTAACAGATCTGAAGGGAAAAATGAAATAAACCCTTTATCTATTTGCATGTATTTGTACTAATCCTGAGCAGTGTCCGGTCACAACTTATGGTTCTGCAAAATGCATATTGGATCCTTTTTTAGCTAATTTACACTTATATGTTTCCTTTTTTAGGGTTGCGACGCATCAATTCTTATAGACTCAACTAATACAACGCAATCAGAGAAAGACGCAGGTGCCAACCAGACTGTCCGAGAATTCGAGCTCATTGACGAGGCCAAGCTCGCCCTAGAGAAGGAATGTCCTTCAACCGTCTCATGCGCAGATATCATAACTCTCGCAACTCGCGATGCAGTGGCTCTTTCCAAAGGACCATTTTACGCCGTTCCTACAGGAAGGCGCGACGGTCTTGTATCAAATCCTGATGAAGTTTTCTTACCAGGCCCAACTATAAGTGTTTCTGATGCAATCAATGTTTTTGCTGCCAAAAAATTAACTGTAAATAATATGGTAGCCCTTTTGGGAGGCCACACTGTCGGTGTTGCTCATTGTAGCTTTTTCGAAGATCGCCTTTCCAATTTTCAGGGAACTAATGCTCCTGATCCAACGATGGATCCTGCTTTGGTTGCCGAGCTCAAGAGGATTTGCAGCGGTAACAATGACCCGACTGCATTTTTGGACCAAGGCACACCCTTTGTTTTAGATAATCAATTCTACAATCAGACCCTTTTCAAGAGAGGAGTTATGCAGATTGACCAGCGACTTGCTTCGGATAAATCTACTTCTGGAATTGTTTCTGGTTTTGCATCAAATAATGCTGCATTTAGGTTGAGATTTGCAGAGGCTATGGTTAAAATGGGGAGCATCGAAGTTCTTGTTGGAAATAATGGACAAATTAGGCAAAATTGTCGAGTTGTCAACCAGGGCAAACCACTAAGTTCAGGAAATCTGGGACAAGGGAAGCCGAAGAAACCAGTCGATCAGCCCAAACCCAAGAAACAAAAATCGAAGACTAAAAGGCAGAAGCCCAAGTCTAAAAAGAATCCAAAAAATGGGAAAAAGTAAAACGAACCAGGGCATTTTAAATATTTTTGGCAAGGTCTAATGAGATTTAAGAAGTTATTGTGGTTTTATTTTTAGAATAAAAATTATTAATATGGTGTTAAGCAATTTGTTTATTTATTTTGTGCTCTAGTTGGAATTGATTTATTAGTGCATTTTCGTTGAATATATGACCTGCAGTCTGTCTTTTCTTTGTTGTTCTCTCTCTACAAAGTGAAATTCCTTTCTCTCACTATTTCCCATCTCCTTTCAATCTCTTTAACAGTAGAACTTTACCTATAATAAAAAAATTAAAACATTTAATAAAGAAAATTTCTTATGTAATAAGAAAAATGTTACTTTTTGATTTAACTCATAAACAAAAAAATTATCTACTTAGATAGGATCAGGTTTCTTCATACTACCAGCCCCTTTAATTGCTGTTCTTTGATAAACAACATTTTCTAAGTCACATTAATCTCGTATATATTATGTTTCTCTCATGTAAACTAATCTCATATATTATGTCGGGATAGTGGGATTTAACTTTTTGATTCTATTTATAAGTAGTTCATCTTTATTTTTGATACAAAAATTTACAACAACCAGAGTGATCCAATCGACCTTAGCGGGATCGAAACTTGTGTGTGTGTGATTACGGATAATAAGCTATGAGCAAGTAATGAATGCAATAAAGTAAATAGCAAAGAGATTTTTAAAGTGCTTCGGCAAGGTAAACTCTTGAGCCTACGTCCATTGTTCTTATATTTGCTGTGAGAGTTTATAATAAGAGTTCTATAGAAAATTTCTAACCTCTTTTTCATCATTTGAGGGGGTTTATATACAATGTTTGTACAAAGGAAAGAGCAAAAATAAAGGGATTACAATTGATTTGAAATGCAACTTCGATATTTTCGCGATTGGGCGTTGTGATTGCACAGAGATTGGTGTTAATTTGATCATTCCCGTAATATCTGGGATCTGAAGTTATCTGGGAATCAACTAAATGATCATTCGGATTGTTGGTGACTAGCTTGTGTTGGGTCGAGCTATATGTTGAAAAGCTATATGTCAACAAACTTATGCTGGGTTGGACAACCGGTAGAGTCAGACTGATTCTAGGTCGAGCTAATACCTCGCAACTCACCAAGCTTGGTGGAAAAATCACATGCAACATTTGCCCCCTAGTGTTCGATGCTCGTTTTCGAGCTTCGAAGACTATCACTTGATTTGATACCAAGCTCGGTGTTGTTAGTATGCCACCAAATGCAGGCTCAATCGAGCTCCAAGGGGCGACCTCATGCCCAGTCGACGTACTTTACGCTAGAATCTTCTATCTTCTGTTTACACTAGAATCTTCTATCTTCTGTGATACTTGATAAACTTAGAATATGAAAAGTTAGGACAATTACGTAAATTCCATGCAGTCATGTCGCATTAAATGCGACAGCCTTTGGCAGTCACATTTCGTCACACGAGGGCGACTACAATTGTCCACATGCAGAGTCGAGGTGATGTGTGGCTACGGTTATCATTATAACAATCTGACAATTCGTCGCCCCTCACGCATGGATTACACGTGGCCACGTCTAAGGGCTGAGATTTCTCGATGAATAAAGGGTCAAAATTCACTGTAGATCAATGGTCACGATTGAACCTCGCCCTTTCGGCTCCTATGCAAGCCACTATAAAAGCTGGTGAAGTCCTCAATGACTCATTCAATCTATGAAAATCTTTTAACGTCTTTGCTCACTCTGTTGATGCTTCATTGTCATCATGACGCTCTTTCCGGCGAGTTCTTACACTTCTCTTGTTCCGGTAAGGTTTCTTTTCCCTCTCTTTATTTGTTTTTCTAATTTTAGCTTTGAAGGGTGGCCATTCTTGTGGCCACATTGAGTGTTCTAGGGCTTTAGTAGCATTTTTGGTGTGTCTCCGGCGGTCTTGGGTTTAAGGAGGGTTTATCATGGTGGTCGTCAAAACCTTGGGTAGGTCACGCGCGTTCGTCGTGTGGCACGAGCTATCTTGGGTGCTTGAATTGTAAGCAAGTGTGAATTAGTCGCCGAGTTTTTTGAGCTCTGACACATGTTCACTTCTGTTTCAGGTATCCAGAAGCGAGCTATAATTATGTATTCTTCCAGTAGTCACACAATTGATCGCATGTTTAACTCACCCGCAAGCTCGACAATCCTTGGGGATATAACCCCCGAGGTCTCCAAGGAAGTCATCGCGCGAAGCTCATACCCTGACACGACGGGCTCTTCCGATCGTTCTTTGATTTAGTTGGCTCAATCCAAGCAGTCTCCAGTTCACAGGCTGCAAAGGGAACCACAATCCTCGATTACCATTAGGGATTTGGAGTGCATAAGAGAGGTCTATGCGTCGTAGATTAATTTGATGGTTCTGGGGGACTTTTCTCAGGAGAATCCCTTGCCCGGATGGGTGGCGATCTCTAAGACCCTCCTGAGATGCGGGGTATCTATTCCCCCTTATTATTTTACCGACAACGTTCTAAGGTAGTTTGACATCGTTCCCCTCCAGCTATCTACAAATTCGTATGTCATTATCATCGGTCTGTACATAGTGTACATGATTGCTAAATTGGGCGAGCCATCCATCGAGGGATTCGTCCATCTGTATAGGCTCAAGAAAGGGAAAGACTAGATGTACTACTTTTCCAAGGTGAGGATGGTACATTTCAACAGATTGGTTGGTGTCCCGAAGAAGATCCCGTATTGGGACTCCCAATTTTTCTTTTATGAAGCCCGGGAGACCTTAATTTTCACTTTAGAACGGAGTAAGACTTCGATTTCTCATGTGTGCGAGGATCCCTTTCGAGCTTTGTGTTCTAGCTAACTGAGTTGCTTTGTTTCGCAGTTAACATCGAGCAGAACTATCTCCCTGCCGCGAGCTTGCAGAGGCTTTAGCATTTTAACGACCTTCCCGATGGACAGCGTAAAATTAATGAGATCATCATGCTTCCTCACTTGAGGGCATATGACTTATGCCGGGGCGACACTAAGTTTCTTACCATTCTTGAAAAAGGTTAAGTTATCGTTTGCTCGTGCTTAGTTCTCCTGTGCAGATAGGTCACTCACTATTTGCTTCTCTTTTTTGCAGAAATGTGGGCCGAGAAACCAAAAGGCCTTAAAAAGAAAGTGGCAACTTCGGTGGCTACCAAGAAGACATCAGTTGCTTTGGCGATGAAGCAGCCCGCTGACATTGTCGATGTGAAGCACGGTGGGGGCGAGCTTGGGGATGGCCCAAGTGCGAAGAAGCCCGCGATTGCCTTGAAGGCAGTTGGTGGGAGAAATGTCCCCGAGCTCTAAAAGGGGTTGGTAGAAAAGACACCTGAGTTGACTAGAGGCTTGGGGAATCAAAAGGCACCCAAGCAGCATGACGGCTTAAGTAAGAAGAAATCGATCAAGCCTCTAGGGGGCTCGGGTAAGCAAAAGGTGGTCAAGCAGTAGGGTGGCTCAGGCAAGGAGGTCGCCGGGCAAGTTGGTTGCCCAAAGAAATCAGCGGCCAAGAATTCGGCCATCACTGTCCTGATCTTGGGCTCTACCTCTAGAGTCACGGGGAGGTCGATCATCCCTTTGGGAATCAGGCTATCCCTAGTAAATTCATAGAGTGGCGAAGGGCATGCCCTCAAGTCTCTCTCTCTGTGAAACTCATTCCTCGGAGAGCTCCCAAGAAAATGATGTTGGCCATACTCCCATTATTTGCCATTACCCTCAGCACTCTAGCATTGCCAATTCTAGCTGTTATTATGATCGCATCATGATTGTGGCGAGGGGATTCTTCGCATTCCTCGACTGTGAATCCTATTACCTCGTTCTCTTGCCTAGGCCGTTTGGGTGGCTTCTGTTCACAACTCATTATCTAAGGGACCGAATCTATTCTGGCCTTACGAGCACGCCTTGAGTTGTTTGCTATTTGAGCCCCCCATAGATCATACCTACTAGGACCTCATTGTTGGCATTTGCCAGGGCTTGCTGGACCTAGTTTTGGACCTGATTGTTTTGCTTACTAGCTTCATCACGAGTTGGTGCCTCCTTGACGAATTCCTTTAGGTGGCACATTCGTATCAGGTCCTCGATGGCATCTGTTAAAGCCCGACACTCGTTGGTGTTATGCCCAATGTCCCGGTTGTATCAAAAAATTTTTTGTTGATCTTTTTTGTTTGGAGCCCCCCTTATCCTTTCTGGAGCGGGCAATCTTTTTGCTTTACGGGAGACTTCATAGATGTAAGCTATGTCTCGCGTGAGGGGGGTATATTCTGAATACGGTGGGAAGGGTTGCTTGTCCCCAAGGTTATATGTTCTTTGTCTTTTTTGGGACTTGTTGCGGTCCCTATCATTGCAGTTTTGACCCTCACGCTTGTTTGATGGACGATCTTGTCGCCTGTTCGGGGCTCCTCACGTCGAGCTTCTGGCCAATACTGCCAGCGAGCTTTCTACTCCATGGTGTTTTGCAGCCATTTCATAAAACTTGGCCAGGCTCACGTGATCTTTACTCAGGAGCTCTTTCCACAGCTCTGTGTTTGGCCTGATGCCTGCAATTAGCAAAGTTTGGATGGACTCTTCGAGCGCATCTGCAACCTTTGCTTGCTTGTTCTGGAACCTCGTTAAATAAGAGGTCAGTGTTTCGTCTCTCTCCTGACGAATGTTGCTCAAGTAGTTGAGCGGCTTTGCATACTCTCTCCTCACTTGAAACTGCTGCAAGTATAACGAGGATAACTGTTGCAAGGAATTAATGGAGTTTGCCTTAAGTCTCTTATACCACCTCTTGGCATCTCCTACCAATGTGACCGCGAAGCAACAACATTTCTCTAGGTCACACACCTGATACAGCTCCATCAGGTCATTGAAATTGTTAAGGTGGTCTCTAGGGTCTCCTCTCCCATCGAACTTACTTTCTGGCACCCTGAATCCCTATGGAAGTGGGGACTGGAGAACCTCCTCCGTAAAGGGGAACTCACTATTTCTTCTACCACGCCATTTTGGCGGGCCTTTAGATCATCGAACATTTTTTGCATGCAATCCAAATCTTCATTGTGGTTGCTCTAGTTGGCTCTGTTCAACCTTATTTCAAGCAAGTGTGTTCGCAAGTCTGTGGCTTGCGAAGCCCTTCCGTTATGCGCATTGATGCGTGAAGTTAAGTCATGATGGC